GTTTCCCCCTTTTAATATGGTTTTATCTTGACCTGTTTCTCTCATCTCAAGGTTTTGTTTTGGCATTTATCACTTGAATCACCAAGATCATTTAGCCAACAGTATTTTTTAAGCCCAAGATGGCAACTCTGTAACTGCCACGTATATGATGAAAGAGTACAAGAATGGGCTTTATTTTCATCTCAAGAATATTTAAATTGAGGGAAGAATTCAGCTTTTATTGTTAAAATTTGACAGGCATCAAGCACATGTGATAGAGGAATTGTCATCATAAAGTCCTTCTAGTAAAGTTTTAGGTGACCAGTGACTTTGTCAATTAAGTCTGCTGGTCCTGGCCCAATTCCTAGGACAGTTCGAGAGCCTGGTGCAATCTGAGTACGTCCAGCATCTTGGATTAAACTTACAGTCAGTCCCAGCATCTTTGCATGGGTCAATAACTCAACCAGGGTTTCTTCATCAGGAGCTTTGACCACCACTTTGGGCTGGCCACAATATTCCCACTGTTTGAGCACTTCAGGGTTTTTCCTTTGAATTTGCTTGTAGGCAGAAACAGCAGCATGAGAGCACTGGGCAGCCACTTTTCCTTTTCCCATCTTTAAGTCGGTTCGAACCACAAGAATCATTTTGTACTCCCCATTTTCTCCTAAGATGCTTGCTTCAGTGCCTGTCTCTGTGTCTGTCTTGCTCGTCAAGCCTTTGGAAAGCATCCCAAAACGTACTCGGAGGCCCCAGCCCAGGCACATACCACAAGCAACTCCAGCAGCCAAGGTGAAAGCACCAGGATGAGCCAAATATTCCATGACCAAAGATTTGGAAGGCATCTTAAGGGAAAGGAAAAAAGTTATCACTAAGTAATAGTAAGGTATATAGACGTATCAGAGAAACACTTTAACTATAAGCAGAAAGCAACATTTTAGAACTATATGAGGTCATCCAGAAAAAAGGTAGAATGTGTTTTGGATCTTATGCATGTAGCCTACTTCCACTCCCCACCTCCCACCTCCATGTACTAGAAAAGACTCAAGCATCTATATAAAGCAGTTTAAATCATTTAGAATTTTTTTTTTGTTTTAAACTGAGACAAAGTCTTGCTCTATAGCCCCGGCTGGAGTGCAGTGGGGACATCAAAGCTAACTGGAACCTCAACTATGGGGCTCAAATCATCCACCTACTTCAGTCTTCCAAATAGCTAACACAAGTGTGCACAACCATGCTTGGATAACTTTTTTTTTTTAAATGTTTTGTAGAGACAGGACCTTACTATATGTTTTCCAGGTCAGACTCAAACTCCTCTATCAAGCACTCCTGCCTCAGCCTCCCAAAGTGTTGGGATTATAGGTATGAGCTAACATGCCTGGCCATTTTGAATCTTAATGTGAACAAATTCACATCAAGTTCAAAAACTCTTCCTCAGTCTTAAGTCCTGCGGAGAAAGGAAATATTCTTACCAAGATGCCTAAAAAGATCTAAAGAAACCAAAAATAACTCACCCTTTTCTCGGAATACAGTGCAATCTGTGTTTTTACAATGTGTTAGTTTTTAATGGAGGAGGTATCAAATAAGTTCTCCTTAGAAGAACCTCAAAGAAATTTCCCACTGTCAGGTTAACACATTGTTGACCAGTCCACAAGTTAACTCATGTTTTCATGCCCACGATGCTGACTGATCACAAGTTAACTTGTGTCTGCACATGCATTAGCTATTGCAATTTTTAAAACACAGGGGAGGCACAGCACCCATAGCTCAGTGAGTAGGGTGCCACCTACATACACCGAAGCTAGCGGGTTCAAGCCTAGCCCAGGCCTGCTAAACAGCAATGACAACTGCAACCAAAAAAAATAGCCAGGCGTTGTGGTAGGTGACTGTAGTCCCAGCTACTTGGGAGCCTGAGGCAAGAGAATCCTGTAAGCCCAAGAGTTTGAGGTTGCTGCGAGCTGTGATGCCACAGCACCCTACTGAGGGTGACATAGTGAGACTCTATCTCAAAAACAAAAGAAAACAAAAGAAACCCCACAGGGTAACGCAGGATACTGTAAATGTTTTTTTGATCATGTTCAGTTGTGTTCACTCTATCATAAAATGTTATTCTAGATATTCAGGTTTTTAATCACAATTTTAGTATTGCAAAAATTTCAACTGTGACGGACTGTGATGGTGAAGAATTTTTCAATGAATTATATGCAGATGCTTTATCTTGTTCTCTGAGTGATTTTGAAGTATTTTGTAGTGATCTGGAAAATGATAGTTTATCAAAAGACAGTTTTATCAGTCTTACATTAGCCATCAGAACAACAAAAAAGAAATATGACAGTGAAAGTGGTTTTGAAGAAGAGTGGATTGAAAATATTACACTAACCTTGGAGAATTACACAAATATCTCAGGTAACTGTTGAACTCAGTGATCCATAGCGTATCAGTGAATGACAGATTTACCTTTTGATGATTTTATTTAGTTTTTTTTTTTTTTCACTTTGTCATCCTTGGTAGAGTGCTGTGGCGTCACAGCTCACAGCAACCTCAAAGTCTTGGGCTCAAGCAATTAAGCTCAAGTAGCTGGGACTATAGGCACCTGCCACAATGCCTAGCTATTTTTTTTGTTTGTTTAGCAGGCCCAGGCTGGGTTTGAACCCACCAGACCTGGAACATGTGGCTGGCGCTCTAACCACTGAGCAACAGGTGCCCCCTATTTAGTTATTTCTTGAACCAATTTATACCACCACCAAATAGAATAATTTTATAAAAACTGCTAAAACTTTACTATGGATGGAAGTTACCACTAGTGACCTAAAGAAGTTTCTCAGTTTATTGATATTAATGGGACAAACAAAAAATCACATTGGAAAGATTATACTGGTCAATAGACCCGTTGATTGAAACACCAATATTCCCTAAAACTATGACCAGAATGAGGTTCGAGGAAATCTTTCCATTTTTTTTCATCTTAGTGATAATTTATAAACTACATCTAGTGAAGACAGACTTTATAAAATCAGGCCTCTTCTGGATTACTTTATTTCACAATTTAAGTCTTTACATATACCTAAGCAGGAATTGTCCCTAGATGAAGCAGTGGTACCATACAGAGGACATATCAGCTTCATTTCACTTTCATATTCAATTATGGAATAACAGCCAGTGACACGGTATAGCTTTGGCATAAAACTGAGTCAACAACATGTTAATGGACCCTCATGAAGTGCCTTACTGCACAAGGATGCTAGAAATCGGGCAATACGAAATTGTCCCATTGAGCGTCTTAATACATATAGATGCTTCTCAACTTAACAATGGAGTTACAGCCCAATAAACCCATTCTTTAATACACCTAACCCACAGAGTTCATAGCCTAGCCTACCTTATACGTGCTCGGAACACTTACATTAACATACAGTTGGGCAAAATCACGTTATACAAGGCAAATAAAGTGTTGAATATCTATGTAGTTTATTAAATACTGCACTGAAAGTGAAACACAGAATGGTTATGTGGGTACTCACCATTAATTTACATAGATAAAAGCACACTACAGAAAGTTGGAAGCATTGAAATAAAAATAATTACTGGATCTCTCGCTTCTGCCGAAGCTTGAGAATAGCCGGTAGAAAGCAGTGGGGCGCCAGGCACAATGGCTCATGCCTGTAATCCCAGCACTGTGGGAGGCTGAGGAGGGAGAATCGCTGGAGCTCAGGAGTTTGAGACTCGCCTGAGCGAAAGTGAGACCCCAAGTGAGACCCCGACTCGTGAAAAAAATGGAAAAACCCAGCCAGGCGCTGCGGCAAGCTCCTGTAATCCCAGCGGCTTCCGGAGGCTGAGGCAGCGGGATGCCCACAAGCCAGGAGTCTGAGGTTGCAGTGAACTACCAAGCCGCTGCACTCTGCTCAGGGGCACAGGGTAGGACTCTCTCTTGACTAAAAAAAAAAAAAAGAAAGAAAGCAGTGGGGCATCAACACTTGATGGTTTAGCAGTCATAGTGTTCTTCAGGAAGATACCAAGTTTTGACTGTACAGTTTGTTTCTTCTTTTTTTGTTTTTGAGGCAGAGCCTCCAGCTGTCCCCCTGGGTAGAGTGCTATGGCATCACAGCTCACAGCAACCTTCAACTCCTGGGCTTAAGCGAGTCTCCTGCCTCAGCCTCCCGAGTAGCTGGGACCACAGGTGCCTGCCACAACGCCCGGCTATTTTTTGCTTGCAGCTGTCGTTGTTTGGCAGGCCCGGGCTGGATTGGAACCCGCCACCTTGGGTGTATGTGGCTGGTGCCTTAGCCGCTTGAGCCACAGGTGTGGAGCCATGTTTCTTCTTTTCATTACATATTTCCTGTAGCATTCAAGAGCATTCTATATTTGCCTATTGACTTTTTTGAATGTTTCATAAATGACATCCATTTCTCTTAACAACCACATACCACTGATAGCAGCAAATGCCTCTGCCAGTTTCTTTGCTGTGAAATTTCTTGGTGCCGGGGCGGCACCTGTGGCTCAAAGGAGTAGGGCACTGGCCCCATATGCCGGAGGTGGTGGGTTCAAACCCAGCCCCAGCCAAAAACTGCAAAAAAAACAAACAAAAAATTTCTTAGTGCCTTAGGTATAACTTCTTCCTTTGTCTCAGCTTTTGTTCTTTCTTCTTTCAGTTTGATTAGCTCCTCTATGCAAAAGTCTTCAGCCACAATTATCCTGTGTAACTGTTCCTTAAAAACTTCAGTGCCTTCAGTATCTGCACTTGATGCTCACCACTGACCTTCACATTATGAAAATTGTTTCTTGAAGTGCTAGAACCATCCATGATTTGCTTCAAATACCTATATATACACATAGGGTCACTGTTATGCTCTTTTAACATATTGAACAGACTTCTTGCCTTAGACTGCATCATCAGTAGGCTAAGTGGTATGTGCTTCTGTAGCTGGTCTTCCATCCACATAACAAGTAATTTTTGCATCATCAAGTGGCTTGGGTCTTTTCTTTGTGATGACAGTGGATTTAACCAAGGCTGATGATTTATTTCACTGCATCAATGATTCACTTCTTATCCTTTAAGATAGTTGAAATTGTAAACTGTGAAAGTCTAAACTCACATGCAAAGGACATTACTGGCTTGCCGCCTTCATGCTGGGTAATGTCTTGAGTTTTACCTCAAGAGTAATTGCCGCTGCCTTCTCATCTCACCAGAAACAGGAAACACAAATGGGTACTTTGTAGACATCATGAGATGTGAAAACACAGGACACAATATCCAAAAAAGCTGGCAACACAGTTGAGGATCAGGTGCTTTCCCTCATGGTGGCATGGCTGACTGGGAGCTGAGGCTCAGTGCCACTGTCCAGCATACAAGGGAGCATCATACCATATGTCACTAGCCTGGGAAAAGATCAAAATCCAAAACTCGAAGTACAGTTTCTACTGAATGGGTATTGCTTTCCCACCATCATAAAATCAAAAAATCTTACACTGAAGACTGCACTGAATTTTCTGTAAGTATAACTATCATATAAAACAAAAGAATACCATCATTATTTTAGAAAATTTGGTTCTCTAGCAAAGCTGTTCATCATAGTTGAGTCATTAATAAAACACCTGTGTCAGTCTACATTTGAGGCCACTGGATTGATAATGCTTCCCTAAGGAGGGTGGCGGGTTCAAACCTGGCCCTGGCCAAACTGCAACAACAAAAAAAAATAGCCAGGCTTTGTGGCAGGCGCCTGTAGTCCCAGCTACTCAGGAGGCTGAGGCAAAAGAATTACCTAAGCCCAAGAGCTGGAGGTTGCTGTGAGCTGTGATGTCATTGCACTGTACTGAGGGCAACAAAGTGAGACTGTCTCTATAAAAAAAAACAGGGCCACTATGTTTATAGTGCTTATGATCAGCATAGCATAGATGACAGCCATGGAAATACTTATTTTATCATAAATTTCCTTCTTATTCTTTTTTGTTAAATTATAGACATCTTTTTGAAATTATGTTAGGAAGATTATGCAGTATTTATCAAAGAGTTCCAGCTCAGGATAGTATGTAATTCATGTACCATAAAATTCACCCTTTTAAACTATACAATTCAGTGGTTTTTAATATAACATATCCACAAATTTGTATGACTATGAGACTATCTAATTCCAAAATATTTTTACTGCTCCAAAAGGAACCCCTTTATCCATTAGCAGTCAATTCCCATTTTCTTCTTCCACTTGCCTATTCTGGACATTATATAACCGTAACATTTTTCAAGGTTCACCCATGTTGTGGTACGTATCATTACCTCCCTTCTTGTTATTGATGAATAATATTCTACTGTACAGATGTACCACATTTTATCCACCCATCGGCTAATGGATATTTAGGTTGCCACTCTGGGCTGTTATGAATAATGCTACCATGAGGATTTGTACATTCAGTTTTTTGTGTAAACGTGTTTTCACTTCTCTTGGGCATATACCTAAGAGTCCAATTGCTGGGCCACATGATGACATTGTTTAAACAACTGTCAAATTATTTTCCAAAGTGGCTGCACCATTTACATTTGTTACAAATGATTTGTTATAAAAAGTATTCTTATAAAAAGATTCTCAACCCCACTCTGAATGGGTTGAGAATCAACCACTGTTCTAGTAGCTCAAGACTCAGTCTCCAATTCAGAAACAAATGAAAAACCAAAGCCTTTGCAAACAGATCTGCATATATAAATCACAGCTCTACCAAGGGCGAGTCTCAAAAATAAAACTAAAATGTTCAAACTAACACTTATTTCTTCATTCTTTAGCATGTTCTAGCTCACATCAACCTGATCAGATTATCATCTAACCCCCTACAATAGTGTGTCAGTCTAGCCCTTTTTCTATATACCTCCTACAAGGGAAACAGTAAGGCCAGTGCTTGAGACTAAGGTAAAAATAACCACTTTTAGTATCATAGATAATCCTGAGTAATGACAGAACAATGAAACAAATATGTCCTATAAAACTCCCCTCTTGGTGCCTTCAAATTTTCCTGACTAAAGCACCAGTTTCACAGTTGCTCTTGATCCCACGGTTTTCCTGAACCACATTCTGCCCCTTAAACCTACTTCACTGGCTACCATCCCTCTGCATTTTCCATCCTAAAGAAACTTTTCCCTGGCCATGATCAGTGGCTTACACCTCTAATCCCTGCACTCTGGGAGGCTGAGGCAGGGAACACTGGAGCCTAGGAGTTCAAGACCAGCCTCAGCCACATAGCAGTTTTGTAGTCTCTACAGTCAAAACAGAAATCAGCTAGGTGTGGCAGCATGTGCCTGTGGACCCAGCTACTCAGGAGGCTGATTCAGGAGGATAACTTTGAGGTTATAGGGGCCATGATGATTCCCCTACACACTAGCCCAGGAAACAGAGCAAGACCCTGTCTCACACAAAAACTAAATAAACTTTTCTCGAATCTTTTCAGACACTAAAGCCACTGTCTCATTTTATTATTCCTTCTTTTACCTCCAAACTTTTTCAATTACCTATCTCTATTTCTTCTAATCACCCTACTCAACTGCCTCTTTCCCAATCCACTGAAATTGCTAAGGAATCAAATGCTTCCTAATTGCCAACTGTAGTTGTCTTTTTTAGGCCTCGTCTTGAATTTTCTGCACCATTCACTGATCACTTTTAAACCTTTAAGTTTTCTGGCTCAGCACCTTAGTTCAGTAGTTAGGGCGCTGGCCAAATGCACTGGGGCTGGTGGGTTCCAACCCAGCCAGGGCCTGCTAAAACAACAATGACAACAATACAAAAAATCAGCCAGGCACTGCGGCAGGTGCCGAAAGTCCCAGGTAGTTGGGAGGCTGAGGCAAGAGAATCACTTAAGCCCAAGAGTTTGACGTTGCCAAGAGTGACACAGTAAGACTCTGTCTCAAAAATAAATAAATAAAATAAGCCTTTAAATTTTCATCTCTGGAATTCTTTAACCCAACTTTCACCTGATTCTTATGCTCTATCTCTAATAGCTTTTCAACGGTCTCCTCCAGTTTTTTTTTTTTTTTTTTTGTACATAGTGTTTCACTTCATCACCCACTGTAGAATGCCATGGAGTCACACAGCTCACAGCAACCTCCAACTCCTGGGCTTAGGCAATTCCCTTGCCTCAGCCTCCCGAGTAGCTGGGACTACAGGCACCCACCACAACACCCGGCTATTTTTTGGTTGCAGTTTGGCGGGGGCCAGGTTTGAACTAGCCAGCCTTGGTATATGGGGCCTGTGCCCCGCCCACTGAGCCACAAGGGCTGCCCAGTCTCCTCCAGTTCTACATCCTCTATTTGCCCCTGATACGTGTATTACCAAAGCGGACACATTTGGCCCTTTCTTCAGTATATATCTACACTGCCCAATAAAGAAGCTATGGGTCAATATGTGATTATACAAACTTAGATGAGTCATAAGAAGACTATTTAGAGATCTATTAATATGAAATATTCTAAACTTTGTCCTCAACTATACTCAGTAACTTTCCTCCTCTCTGAAACTTTCTGTCATATTCTTTTTTTTTTTTCTTTTGAGACAGAGTCTTGCTCTGCCATCTGGGCAAGTGTGCCTTGGCCTCAGTCGAACTGAGCAACCTCAAACTCCTGAGATCAAGCAACCCTGCCTCAGTGTCCTGAGTAGCTGGACTATAGGCGCGAGCCACAATGCTGGGCTAATTTTTTTATTTTTAGTAGAGATGGGTGTCTCACTCTTGCTCAACATACTGAGCTCAAGTGATCCTCCAGCCTCCACCTCCCAGAATGCTAGGATCACAGGCATAAGCCACCGTGCTCAGCCTAAACTATATGTATTTTTGATTTCTAAGTAAACCTAGACTTTTCTTTCTCCTATGTCCTACCGCATACAGTCACCAAATCCTATTAAATGTATCTATTTCTAACCTCTCTCTCTACTACTGGTGCCAAAAGTCTTGCCAAAGTCTCCAAAATAAACTTCTCTCTGTCTAACCTTCCCTTATTTACTTCACCCTTTTCCTAGTTCATCCTAATCCACATTATTGCTGTAAATATATTTCTAAAACACATGCAAATTCTCGTCTCAAAAATCATCAGCTACAAGTCTACAGAATAAAACATAAATCTCAGTATAAACTCAAAGCACTACACAATCTGGTTACAGCCTACTTTCTCCTCCCAACTTCCTCTTCTCTTACAAAACATACTGTACTATCCAGCCACCCCAAATTACGAGGTTCTTTCAACCAGCAATCTCTCCCCTAAAATAGTTTCTACTTTTCTCAAGTTAAAACAAAAAACATCCTATTCATCTAATTTAAATGGCACTGCCAGTGAAGTCTTTACCATCCCCCAGATAGGATTATATCCTGTTCAGAACTCCTACAGCACTCAGACATAATTACTGTACCTTCCCTGGGATGTTACAGGACTAAAAACCTATCTCCACAATGCCTCTGTGTGACTGAGGGAACAAATCTTCCAGTTAGTAAGAAATCATTTCTTTCCATGTAGAACTCAAAAGTCTGAAATGCTGTGGGTATTCAATAAATACTTAGCAGAGTTTGAGGCGTGCATGGTATTTTCTCAAATGCAGAAAGACAGCATCCATGCTACCTGAATGGAGGCTCTGCTGGGAACTAGAAATTCCCAGGTAAAGAACCGAAGCCCCCAGCGGAGATTAGACGGCAGACAGTTTATAAAGAAAATGAAGGGAGGGAGGGTTATGGAATGAGATGGGAAGAAACGTTGCAGGTGCAGAGAGAATGGAGACCGATGTACCTATCCTTCGTTGTGTAAGGAGCCAACCTACCTAAAACAACTCTTCTTCCAACTCGCGCCTTCCCTGTTCTTCGCTTCTAGAGAGCTACCACGCGTCTTCCGCGCCAGCTATCTCTTCCGGGGTGCCCGGACTACAAGTTCCGGATCAAGAACCACGAAGCAACCAGTCATTCTTCCTCTTGCCACACCCACAGGGACCTCATCAACCACCAACCTCCCCATTGAAATCCCGCGAGACCAGCCGAGGCTTCCCAAGGGCGGGGGGAACGTTTTTCTCCGGGAGGCGGGTCTCCGGCGCGATGAGGCGACTGGACCGGAAGTGACGCTAGGTAGTTCCGGTTGGCCGGAGCCCAGCGGCGGGTGTGAGAGTCGGTCAGGAGCCGCTTCCAGGATCCTGAGATCCGGAGAAGCCGGGGTCGGAACGGGTAGGTACGCCAGCCAATGCGGGGAATTGGGGGTGGAAGCTTGGGACTGTCCTCAGAGCGTGGCTTTTTCCGGACCTCTCCCACTTAGTGCAGATTGGGGACACGGTAATTTCGATTTCCAGCGGTATTTTAGGGCGCTGCTGATGCCGAATGTCTCAGCCTGGCAGTAGCCAGGTTATTTGGGACACCTTCTCAGGTTAGTCGCCGGGACGTTGAACCCAGACGCCGGACTCCTGACCGCGGACTTAGAAGCTACACTCTTTGGTCCTGGTTTCTCTAGGAACTTAGAGTGAATGGAGAAGGTCTTTCCCGCTGACGACCGAGCTGTTTCTCAGTCTGTCAGTTTGCTTCTTGTTCTTCCCAACCTTTAGCGCATGATGCTGGATGTATCCTCTCCTAAACGAAATTCAGGGGTGCAGGTGCCATCTAAAGCAGTGGTGGTACAGGTGGTCCAGAGAATGGGCCTTCGCTGCGTAGAGTCGTTACAGATATGCCACTAGTTTCATGAAAAATAAAGCTGTCTGCCTTTTCAAACCCCTGACCCTGTATTTCATTACAGTGGAGGTATTTGCAGTAAAACGTGAAGGTCGATTCGTCTCTAAAATTCCAAGAAGCCGTACGTGGCCCTGTATCACATTGCTAGATTATTTATAACCTTTAGTAGATTTTACACCATCATCTGTTTTTCCCCCTGCAACTCCATGCAAAAATGTAATGATATATAGATTGGCGTTGTTTGCATATCTTGTCAGTCTTCCTTCTTATGCTAACTTTAATGTCTTTCATTCCTTCTTTGGGCTTGTCAGAGATTTCGTAGACAGATTTGTTTTGCTTTGATCATTTGGAGAAGCTAGAGCAGGTATTCCTATAGTAATGACAGAGAATTTAATATTCAGGTTGCTACTAGCTATTATTTGTATTGTCATTAACTCTGATTTTAATTGTGTATTCTTAGCATAAATGATGAAGGAAGGAAAATTTTATTTACTAGGCAGCATTCTAGCATATTTTTTATTGACTTGTGGAAGAGTGATGGTGATACCTAGACAGATGCGATTGTGTAGGTATGAAAATCTTTCATATTATACTTCTTTGCCTAAATTATTTTAAAGCACTGAAGCATTTTTTTTACTTTGATAATATATCCTACTTGGTTACAATTGATTAATACCGTTTAATTTCTGTGACTTACCAAAAAAGCACACATGTAACCAGGTTTCTGAAATACTTCTCTAAATGATTTGATGCCTTTTAGCAGTTTACCTATTGCTAGTTTAATCAGTTTTTAATTTACATTACATATTGTTATCATTTTTGAGTTAGAAAATTATTTTCATACTTAATCTTTGAAATTAAGTGACAAGATTTTGAGATGTGAGATGATAATTAGATGTTTCATTAGGTAGATTTACTTATTGATTTTAGTTATCCACAAACCGATTATCCAGTTTTTCTTACTTTTTCAATTTCTTCTTGCCTTTGGCTTGAGTCTCTACTTTTTTAAGATTTTGCAGATTATTATTCTTCAGATCAGAAGAGCTGATTGAAGTCTGGGTTTCCACATTTATTGAGTAATATTTGGCGGGTTACCTAACATTCTGGGTGGTCTGGATTGTATTGATAAAAGTACTGCTTGCTTTATTTCATAGGATTGTCATAAGAATTAAGTGAGATGGTAAATGTAAAATTGTATATAAATAACAATGTGATATAATTTTACTGGTGGCAGCTGGAGATGTATCAGTGAAGAATATGTTTCACATGATCTTCTGAAAATACTATCACATACTCTGCTGAGGTGATCTTTGCCCTTCTTGTGAACACAGTAAAGCTAGCCAAGAATAGTTTGATACTATGATCCTTTGAATTAGTCACCTTCATTAATAGCTAGATGACTGGAAAATGAGTATAGTTTTTGCCTTTGGAAGTTTAAATCTGATCCTTCTTGGTCATCATGTATTATCCCTTGAAAATTTTCAAGTGCAGAAAAATCTCAAGCCTTGGTCGTCACATGTAGTTAACTAGAGGGTAGACATAGCCCTACCTTGCTTACATACATGCTAATTTTAATAAGAAACCTTATTGTTTCACTCGGACCAATATTTAGAATTAGAAGGAAGCTCTGTGAACATGTAGTTAGATTCTTCTCAGTTAATAGAGGAGAAAATTGGGGCCCAGAAACAAGCATAATTGGCTTGCCTGAGGTAATCTGGGTTAGACAGTGCCAGAACCGGAACTGTAACTAAGGCTGCAAACTATACTTTCTGGTCTGCGGTTTTCACTAGGCATCTGAATATGGTAATATTACCTGGTTTGCATGAAAATGTTTTCTCTTATGTGTTTAATGGAATCAGTCTGTCCACACACATAAAAACATGCCTACATGAACATTTTTTTTACAAGCTTTTCTTTCCTTTTATAGCTGGTTTAGTCTTATAAATTGTAGGATGGCAAAAACTGCTTGGGAAGATTTGCTGTGGGACTGCATTAAGAAAATTAGTTCTATTCTTCAGGATAGTTATTCTGAGTTCATGCTTCGTCACTATCAGGTATTGAGGTGTCTTCTTTCTGGCAAGTGTAAATGACAGAGGATCCTTGTAACACATGGCTCTACTGAGTAAATGTTGCAAAAGAGTAGGCGGGAGCTATATTAATTCCTTACTCCTGCTAAAAATATTTCCCCAAGCTGTTTATAATTTTTAATATTCTGTTGTGTTAACTGTCTATTATGTGAAGAATCATTTCTGTAGTTACTTCATTCTGGGTCATAACCATTGGAAAAGAGTTAATTCTTTGTCTTGTTGGACGCTCCTTTTGGTTGCATTGATTTCACAAAACCTGTTAACTCTCTCTTCTTTTTTGGAGATAATTGTTTAGGTGCTACACTAATTCCTGTTATTGCTCAGAAATATTGCTTTGTGTCTTTCTCCCTTTTGACTGTGGAAATGAACTGTGGATTAGAGAATCCTGACAAATTAGATGAATTGAAGTGAAAATTTTGCTGTAATTGTGTTAGTTGTTAATCTCCTTTCACAAAGTCTTGCAAGTATTTTTGGGAGTAAACTTTTAAACACCAAATATTACCCTCCAAATTTTTTTATTTTGTCTTGAAAGTGTTTGCTGAACTGAAGTTATATATTATGTAAAACCCTTATATAAACCTCATTTAAAAATACTATGCTCCACCCTAGCACAGTGCAGGGTGGATTATAGCTTATGCCTATAATCCTAGCACTCTGGGAGACTGAAGCCAAAGGATCCATGAAGTTCAAGAGTTCAAGACCAGCCTGAGTAAGAGCAAGGACCCCCCCTCTCCCAATCTCTGCCAAAAATAGAAAAAATTAGCTGGTCGTTCTGGCTGGCATCTGTAGTCTCAGCTACTCATGAGGCTGAGGCAGGAGGATCACTTGAACCCAGAAATTTGAGGTTGCTATGAGCTACCATGGCTTACGCCTGTAATCCCAGCACTCTAGGAGGCCAAGGTGAGTGGATCTCCTGAGCTCATGAGTTTGAGACCAGCCTGAGCTAGAGTGAGACCCCATATCTAAAAATAGTCGGGTGTTGTGGTAGGCACCTCTAGTCCCAGCTACTCAGGAGGCTGAGGCAGGAGAATTGCTTAAGCCCAAGAGTTGGAGGTTGCTGTGAGCTATGTCAACACAGCACTCTACCAGGGGTAATAAAGTGAGACTCTGTCTCAAAAAAGAAAGAAAGAAAAAATTATGCTCTTGATTTGCAGTATCAAGGCAGTTTGATCAAGAGACACTTGTCTGTGTCATATCAAAGGTGAAGGCATGTTTAAATTAAGCAAGGGCAATCCATTGAGTAATCCTTTCCCACTAAGCTACCTGTAATTGCTAAAGTGGTTGCTAGTATCCATTATCTTTTCAGGAGTACCCTGTGATGTTTCCTCTTGTTCTTAGGGCGCTTTAATGATAGCTTTGGTCTTTATATATTATCTGGAAGGACTAGGCAGACAGTGCTAAGAGCCAGGGATGTAAAGCTAGATTGCCTTGGTTCAAATTCACATCTAATACCTTGCAACCCTTTTACTAACTAATAAATAAACCTTTGGCTATCTCTGTTTCCTCTGAGACAATGAAGTCAGTACCTTTATTGTTAGGATTAAATGAATAGATTTAAGTTAATTCAGAAAGTGCCTATCATACTGTTAACCATGATCATTGTCATCGTGTGACCTCCGGAACTTTTGCTAAGAATGCTTTCCCAACGCTCTTTTGAAAGCATGCCTTTATATAGCTGCTTGCTTAATTATTATTTGCTTATTATTAATAAAGGTTAACTAAATAAATATCTCAGAGTATACATTTCATTTTGTGAATATTTTATTTTTTAATTTTATTTATTTATTTATTTGAGACAGAGTCTCACTATGTCATCCTCAGTAGAGTGCTGTGGCATCACCGCTCATAGCAACCTCAAACTCTTGGGCTTAAGCGATTCTTTTGCCTCAGCCTCCCAAGTAGCTGGGACTATAGGCGTCCAGCTTGAGGGATCCACAACACCTGGCTATTTTTGTTGTTATTGTTGTTGTTGTTTAGCAGGCCCTGGCTGGGTTCAAACCCACCAGCCCCAGTGCACGTGGCCAGCACCCTAACGATTAACCTACAGCTGCTGAGCCTGTGACTGTTTTCCAATGTAAGGAATTCTTAACCAAATTCTTAACTGGGGTATTCTTATAGACCATACTGTTAACCTTTTTTGTATAATTAACAGATTACATTATCTGTGTAAGCCATAACATGGAATTTGGGGATGG